TATCGGCCTGAAGTTTTTTCTTTTTATCTCTGCTAGGTTTTGATATCAGAATGATGCCATTCTTACATAATGTTTCGAGGAGGAGTCCATTCTCAATTTTGGGAATAATTTTAAAAGAAATGGAACCAGCTTTTATTTATCTGATAAAATTCAGCTGTAAATCTCTCTGGTCCTGGGATTTTCTTGGTTGGTAAGCTATTACTGATTTAATTGTGAAGCTTGTTATTGGTCTATTCAGGAGTTTAATTTCTCTTGTGTTTCATCTTGCAGGATGTATTTGTCCAGGAATTTATTTATTTCTATTAGATTTTCTAGTTTGTGTGCATAAGATCTTCATAGTAGACTTCAATTGTTATTTACATTTTTGTGGGGTAAGTGTAATTTTTGTAGTTTTGTAATTTTTAATTGTGTTTATTTGGATCTTTTCTTCATTAATCTAGCTAGTAGTTTATTAGTTTTTTTAAAGGTTTAACTCCTGGATTTCTTAATCTGCTGCGTAGTTTTTCATGTCTAAATCTCCAGTTCAGATCTGATTTTGGTTATCTCCAGCCTGGGAGACAAGAGCAAGACTCCATCTCAAAATAAATAAACATATAAATATTTTTCTTTTACAGATAAAGAAAAGCAATGCTAAGTGATGTAATTCTCTCACCCATGAAAAATGTGTGCCTCGTATTTTAGCAATCCAAAAGTTATATTGATAAGCAAATTCTCCAGTTAAAACCACTTTTTCAGTGCCGTAAAAAATAAACTTTCGGCCAGGTGCGGTGGCTCACTCCTGCAATCCCAACACTTTGGGAGGCCGAGTTGGGCGAATCACCTGAGGCCGGGAATTTGAGACTAGCCAGACCAACATGGAGAAACCCCATCTCTACAAAACATACAAAATTAGCCAGGTGTGGTGGTGCATACCTGTAATCCCAGCTACTCAGGAGGCTGAGGCAGGATAATCACTTGAACCGGGAGGTGGAGGTTGTAGTGAGCAGAGATCGTGCCACTGCACTCCAGCCTGGGCAACAGGAGCGAAACTCCACCTCAAACAAAACAAAACAAAACAAAACAAAACTTTCTCATTAGAACCTACAAAGTACCATGTGAAATGAATAGTGAGAAAACTGTTGCCATAACACAGTAAAAGAAAGACTGTAGTTCATTGTAATGTGTACAACCTTGGAATACACATAACACAAACGAAACAGGATAGTTAAGAAACAAGAGAAGCAAAATTTCTCTTTAAATTCAGCGAGTCAGCTTTGCAGCCTAGAAAAAAATGCCTTCGCCATATGAAGATTTCCTTTTTTTTTTTTTTTTTTGTTTTGTTTTGTTTTGAGACGGAGTCTTGCTCTGTAGCCCGGGCTGGACTGCAGTGGCCGGATCTCAGCTCACTGCAAGCTCCGCCTCCCGGGTTTACGCCATTCTCCTGCCTCAGCCTCCGGAGTAGCTGGGACTACAGGCGCCCGCCACCTCGCCCGGCTAGTTTTTTGTATTTTTAGTAGAGACGGGGTTTCACCGTGTTAGCCGGGATGGTCTCGATCTCCTGACCTCGCGATCCGGCCTCCCAAAGTGCTGGGATTACAGTCTCGGCCTCCCAAAGTGCTGGGATTACAGGCTTGAGCCACCGCGCCCGGCCCTACCATGGATATTTTTTATCTCTGACTTGAAAATACAGACTCACTCCAGCAGGAATATTTCTGGCTTATTATGGAGCATCTGTGACACAGGAGGTACTTTCATATTTGTTTGCTACATTTATATATAAAAACATCCTCATGACTTATGAAGTCTCCCTAGTACTTACCTGAACAAATTGATTCAATAAATTTGTCACTTATAAAAGTGAAAGAAGCAATAACCTAAAAAAAAATGCTTATATAGGGTTCTCCAGTTAATAAAACAAAATGGAATGTCCCAACTAAATATAAAAACACTAATTTTTGAATTATATCTAAAAATTACCTTGTGCGTATTACTCAATTTTATAAAATTTATTATAATCTCTGACCAGCTCACATAATGAATACTTCATAAACTATACAACAAAAAATATATAGAAAACACACAAAAAAATTAAGGGTCTAGCATGAGTACCAGGCAAATAAATACAGAGAAGTTGCATGGGGAGATTCTGAACCACAAGCCATAAAATTTTACAGTAATAAATTCAATTAAAAGACAGCAGAGATTTGCTTTCAGCATTTTTGAGGTTTTTTGTTTTCTAGTAAATTAGCAACCTTATTAAAATGATTCCTTTTGTTCCAATATTGCTCTTTTCTTCAAAAAATAGGTGTATTCACACAAAGATAATAACTGTATAATTTTCTTACATCTAAGATTTACCTTTAGAGCAATATATGTGTATATTTAACTCTATGTAAATCAAAACTAAAAGTCTGTGTGTGTTTACAGGCAGAGAGGCCATATGTTCATCAAAGAAAAATATATTACAAATAATTGAAAATATTTAAGACTCAGAAATGAGTTTATTTTATTTATACTTTATATAATGTTTTATGACCACAAAAATAACCATGCAGTCATTAGCAATTTAATTGTACACTTAAAATAACTAAAAGTGTATAATTGAGTTGTCTGTAATATAAAAGATAAATGTTACAAGTGATGGCTACATAATTTACCTTGATGTCATTATTACATATTGTATACCTGTATCAAAATATGCCAGATTTGCAGAACTAGATACACATATTATGTACTCACAAAAAAAAAGAAAAAAATTTAAATAACAAAAAAAGATAAATATTTAACCTATGCAAACAATATTAACTTATCTGCCAGTTAAAACTACTGGCAAAAGAGATTACTAGAGATGCTATTCCACCAATATAATGTTACCAGATAGTATATTGCTACCATCATTTACCTACAGCCTTGAGTAACATCAGATAGGTTAAAGTTGGTGGCATAATAATGCTTCATTAAATGCACAATAGTCATCAAATTCATACATAATTTTAAAAATTTAAAATATACTGCATTTCATGACATAAAACCTCAATCACTAAAATAATTTACAATTTTAGTATTCACTTTTAACTAAAAAATATTTTCTATCATTATAATACAGAAGCATATTACTCTGAACATCGACCTCATACATCACTCAGTAAGTTAACCACAAAGAGCCTCTTCACTTAGATTTTCATCAAGCATCTTATATTTTAACGTCCTTACTTTTTTATAGAAGAGGCTATAATTTCCATCTAATGAGTCTTTTATATGTGATGCAGCAATAATTGATCACATGCTTTCACATGTGAATAGGAACAATGAAACAGCATGAATCTGATACTTGAATTACATCGTAATTTGCTTTTCAAAAATTTTTTATATGTATACTTTTTAAAGTATACTTTGGGCTGGGTGCAGTGGCTCATGCTTTGGGAGGCTGAGGTGGGCAGATCACTTGAGGTGAGGAGTTTGAGACCACTCTGGACAAAATGGTGAAATCCCATCTCTACTAAAAATACAAAAATAAAAAATAAAAGAATTAACCAGACATGCTGGTGTATGCCTGTATTCCCAGCTACTCAGGAGGCTGTGGCAGGAGAACTGCTTGAACCCAAAAGTCGAAGTTGGCAGCAAGCTAAAATCGTGCCACCACACTCCAACCTGGGCAACAAAGTGAGACTCTGTCTCAAAAATAAAATAAAATAAAAGTACAATTTGAATATGATAGCAAAATATCTTCTACTCTCTTAACAGTTATATACAAATAATTTAACAACTTTAGTTTTGGATTATTTTCCATACTCAGCACTTTAATGTTTGAAATGTTTGTGTCTTAGTTATTTCTACTGTAAATTCTGATATTTATATAGACTCAATTTTGAATTAAATATTTTTTATACATATGGCATATGCAAAAATATATCTTAATATAAACTTCAGTGTTTTCTAAGGTACAGTTTTTGGGAAAAAAGTTTTTTCAAATTTATTACATTTGCTGGATTTTTTTTCAATAGAAATTTTTGATGTTGAAGAAAGTTGGGGCAACTGCTTCAGGGTTTTCCTCTAGTATAAAATGTGTACAATAATATCTGTGATACAAGTAAATGCACTATAACCTGCTTTACATTTGTAGTGTTTTTCCTCAGAATACAGTCTCCTTCACTTTAAAGGCTTATATTTTCTACAAGATTATTTGACAGTAATTGCACTTACAATGCTCTAAGTATCAACTCTCTGTTAAGATGTGAGCAGATATTAATGGGCCTTTCCACATTTTTAAAATTTGTATACCTTTTTTCAGGTATAAATGCTTTTCTATGCAATAAGGTGTGAGCATTGGTTAAGAGTTTTGCCACATTCTTCACATTTGTAAGGTTTCTCTTCTACTATGAATTTTCCTTTATTTATTTATTTTTAATTTTTTTAGACAGAGTCTTGCTTTGTCACCCAGGCTGGAGTGCAGTGGCGTGATCTCAGCTCACTGCAACCTCTGGCTCCCCAGTTCAAGCAATTCTCCTGCCACAGCCTCCTGAGTAGCTGGGACTAGAGGCGTGTGCCACCACATCCAGCTAATTTTTATATTTTTAGTAGAGATGTTTCACCATGTTGATCAGGCTGGTCTTGAACTCCTGACCTCGTGATCCACCCGCCTTGGCCTCCCAAAGTGCTCGTATTACAGGTGTGAGCCACCATGCCTGGCCTATGAATTTTCTTTTTTTTTTTTTTTTTTTTGAGACAGTCTGGCTCCGTCGCCCAGGCTGGAGTGCGGTGGCACGATCTCAGCTCACTGCAAGCTCCGCCTCCCGGGTTCAGGACATTCTCCTGCTTCAGCCTCGCGAGTAGCTGGGACAACAGGTGCATGCTACAACGCTTGGCTAATTTTTTTTTTGTATCTTTAGTAGAGACGGGGTTTCACCGTGTTAGCCAGGATGGTCCCGATCTCCTGATCTCGTGATCCGCCCACCTCGGCCTCCCAAAATGCTGGGATTACAGGCGTGAGCCACCGCGCCCAACCTATGAATTTTCTTATGTTGGGTAAGTCTTGAAGACCGGGTAAAAGCTTTGGCACATTCTTCACATTTGTAAGGCTTCTCTCTAGTATGAATTTTCTTATGTTGAGTAAGTCTTGAGGATCGATTAAAAGATTTGCCACATTCTTCGCATTTGTAGGGTTTCTCTCCAGTATGAATTTTCTTATGACTGCTAAGGTTTGAGGAGTGGGTGAAAGCTTTGTCACATTGTTGACATTTGTAGGGTTTCTCTCCTGTATGAATTTTCTTATGTTGAGTAAGTCTTGAGGACCGGTTAAAAGCTTTGCCACATTCTTCACATTTGTAAGGTTTCTCTCCGGTATGAATTTTCTTATGTTGATTAAGTCTTGAGGACAGGATAAAAGCTTTGCCACATTCTTCACATTTGTAGGGTTTCTCTCCAGTATGAATTTTTTTATGACTGTTAAGGTTTGAGGACTGCTTAAAGGCTTTGCCACATTCTTCACATTTATAGGGTTTCTCTCCAGTATGAATTCTCCTATGGCTAGTAAGGTGTGAGGACCGGTTAAAAGCTTTGCCACATTCATTACACTTATAGGGTCTCTCTTCAGTATGAATTCTCTTATGTCTAGTAAGTGTAGAGGAACAGGTAAAAACTTTGCCACATTCTTCACAGTTGTAGGGTTTCTCTCCAGTATGAATTTTCTTGTCTTGAGTAAGTGTTGAGGAACAGGTAAAAACTCTGCCACATTCTTCAAATTTGTAGGGTTTCTCTCCAGTATGAATTTGTTTATGTCGAGTAAGTCTTGAGGACTGATTAAAAGCTTTGCCACATTCTTCACATTTGTAGGGCTTCTCTCCAGTATGAATTGCCTTATGTTTAGTAAGAGTTGAAGACCAGTTAAAGGCTTTGCCACATTCTTCACATTTGTAGGGTTTCTCACCAGTATGTATTCTCTTATGGCTAGTAAGGGTTGAGGACCGGTTAAAGGCTTTGCCACATTCTTTACATGTGTAGGGTTTCTCTTCAGTATGAATTATCTTATGTTTAGTAAAGGTTGAGGATATGCTAAAGGTTTTGCCACATTCATCACATTTGTAGGGCTTCTCTCCGGAATGAATTCTCTTATGGGTAGTAAGGGTTGAGTACCTGCTAAAGGCTTTGCCACATTCTTTACATTTGTACGGTTTCTCTCCAGTATGAACTCTCTTATGGTTAGTAAGGGTTGAGTAGTGGTTAAATGCTTTGCCACATTCTTCACATTTGTAGTGTTTCTCACCAACATAAATTCTCTTATGGTTAGTAAGGGTTGAGGACTGATTAAAGGCATTGCCAGATTCTTTACATCTGTACGTATTCTCTCTAATGTGAATTATCTTATGTTGAGTTAGTTGTGAAAGCATGCAAAATGATTTGTCGCATTTTTTACATTGGAAAGGTTTCTTTCCAGTAAGTCTTGTCTTATATCTATCTGAATTTGAAAATGCATAAAATACTTTTACATATATATCACAGTGATACATTTTGCTCTGGGTAGGTGTCAAACATTGGTTAAGTCCATTATAATCTCCTTTGTATAGTTTACAATCACCTACAGTTTTATAGCCTTTTCTTAATTGTAAGTTCTCAGGTCCACATTTATCATATCTCCTCAGTGTCACTTTTTTGAAAGAATCTTTTATGTCTTGCTCTGGACAAAAGTCTTCAGCAAAATGAGAACATATAACTAAAAAAAAAATTAAAACAACAAATTACTTCACTTACTAGACTCAGATATATATACTTCACACACATAACCTCTAAAATTATACAAACTACATAAGCAATACGGCATAGCAAAATACCAGACTCTAATTTCTTCATAAAAATATAAATGTAACAAAGACACGCTAACCAAAATATATTTGTGGATAACTTATCAATAAGTTATATGCGTGCAATGCCCCAGGTGAGTACAATGCAGAGAGTCACATAGAATGAAACAAATTTCTGTTACATATACCCAACACAGCTCTTCCTGTTCCCCAATAAAACACAGTGCCTTTGGAAGTAAATTGCCAACTCCTGGTTTTGCTTTTAAATGACAAGAAATATATTGGCACATACATCTTTATTTCTGGCTTCTAGGATATTATCAGATGCTGAATTTAGTTTCCCATGACATAAAATGCTGAAAGAAATGGTGGTATACTTTGGTCAGGCGTGGTGGCTCACGCCTGTAATCCCAGCACTTTGGGAGGCCAAGGCAGGCAGATCATAAGGTCAGAAGTTCAAAACCAGCCTGGCCAACATGGTGAAACATTGTTTCTACTAAAAACACAAAAAATTAGCTGGGCATGATGGCAGGCACCTATAATCCCAGCCACTCAGGAGGCTGAGGCAGGAGAATCACCTGAACCCAGAAAGCAGAGGTTGCAGTGAGTTGAGACCGCACCACTGCACTCCAGCCTGGGCAACAGAGCAAGACTCTGTCTCAAAAAAAAAATAAAAAGAAAGAAAGAAAAGAAATGGTGGTATACTCCGCAATGACAGTTTGAGTCTGCTGAGACCAAAGGTAAAAAATGTTACAGAGTGGAGCAACTGCAGTACCACAGACAGGGAACAGGTGTAGCAAGTGATTACTGACTATTAGGATGAAACATGAATACACTTCTTTAAAAAATAAAAACAAAGTTTCAGACAAGACACACCCTAACAACATATTTGAGAGACTGCAAGAATCTCTAACCAAGACAACTGATTTCAGACTATGCCAGGACAAAGCTGCATTATCAAGATTGTGAGAGATAGCTTTTTTTAAATGTCCAAATCTCAATCAAAGATTACAATGTATACAAAATATTAAGGCACCATGGCCCCATCAAAAAATGTATAAAATTTTTAGAAAGCAAAATCATTAAAAAATGAGATGTAGAGATTAATATTTAAAATTTAAGATAAATTGAATAACACTAAATGAGTAAAATAGGAATATAATCTACTGAAAATCAGAAAAATGAAGATAAAAATATTAAAATTATCACAGAACAAAAATTGTGGAGATAAAAAATAACTGAAATATTATCAAAAAAATAAAAATGAAGCTCAACAAACTAGGATACACACAGAAGATATTTACAACAAAACGTATATAAACATAACTGTAAAAGTCACAGACAAGAGAACCTTAGAAGCTGCAAGACAAAAGTGATGTGTCATTTGTAAGCATAGTCTCATATAAAAAATTAGTGAATTTGTCAGCAAGAATATCGCAGGTCAGAAGTAAATTGTGTGATATTCTCAAAGTCCTGGGGAAAAAAACAGCTGTCAAGTGAATATAATACAGTCAGCAAAACTGCCCTACCAAATAAAAAGTAAAACACATTCCAAAATAATCAAATCCTGAGAAAGGATACTGGCACGGTATATACTCTATATAGAGCCTATACATCAAAGATATTGAAAGGAGTTCCTGCTGTTGAAAATAACATGATACAAGAAAACAACACATAATCATATAAAAATACGTAACTTTGTGGGAATGATATGCACATACACAAAAATAAAATTCCTTAAAATTCTTTATTCTATTTTTTACCTTAGAATTATTCCTTAGAATATTTTTATTCCTTAGAATTATCATAATGGTGCACAAAACATTTTAAATTATTATCTAAAAGTTGAGAGATAAAAACATAGAAATTATTATAGAAATCTGTTAATGAATATACAACATAAAAAGATAATCAGTAACATGAAAAATGTTTTACCAAATTAAAATATAGTTTTATTGTTGAGAGGCTTTAGGTAATACCAAAGGTACCACAAAGAACACATCTGTAGAGACAGACACACACACACAAAGAGAAAGAAGTGAAAACATATCAATACAAAAATTAAAAAAGACACAAAGCAAAACAGAAAAAATGATGGACAAAGATACAAAAATCAAATAAAACAATAAAATAACGGTGTTTTTCTTTCAGAAAATTATTTAAATATATATAGATTTAACTTTCCAATCAAGAGACGTATTTTCAATAGATTTATAAGAAAAATTTAAAAAATCAAGATCCATCTTGCCTTTCTACAAGAGTCACAGAAGATCCAATGATAAAAAAAGACTAAAAGTGGCAAGATGGAAATAGAAATTTCATGTAAATATTAGCCAAATGAGAGAAGTCAAAATAATATCACACAAGCTACTGTGATATTTCACATGTAAAATATACTTAAAGTTTATTTCAAAAACTGTCATATTTTATAAAATGTACTTGAAATCAAAACTCCAAAGAGACAAAGAACAACACTAAACAATACTAGATTCATTCACTGGGAACCTATGACAAATTTGTACGTGTGTATGTCTGGGTGCATGTGTGTATCTCGCTTGAGGGTTCCCAATATGTACAGCAAATACTGACAGAATTGAAGAAACACATAGAAAGCAGGATATTTCAATACTCTACCTCCTGTAATAATAAGACAAGATAGAACATTAGTAAGGGAACAGAGGACTTGAAGGTAATATAAAACTATTATTCCTAACAGAGGTATAGAGACCACTGCTAAACAACATCAGGATACACACCCTTCTCAATTGCTCACATAATATTTTTCTTGCTAGATCACCTGTTAGGCCAAAAAAGAAGTCTTAACACATTTTTTAAAACTGAAATCTTATGGATTACTTTCTATGACCAAAACGGAATGAGAGTATACAACAAGAGGAAAAACTAAAAAATTCACAAATATATAGGAATTAGGTTACAGTAAGCCAAGATCACACCACTGCACTCCAGCCTGGGTGACAGAGTGAGACTCTATCTCAGGGAAAAAAAAAAAAAAAAGAAATTAAGCAACACACTCTTGAGCTCTTGAGCATGCTTAGTTCAAAGGTTTAAATAACTAATATTGTGAAGATATTCATACTACTCAATGTAAATTTACAGATTTAATGCAATGTTTTCCAAATTTCTCATTGCACTCTTGAAGAAATAGAAACAGCAACCACCAAAGTATAAGAAATATCAAGAGGCAGACAACAAAGTACCCAACGATCTTTTAAAAAGGAACAATGTTGGAGGAATTACAGTTCTTGATTTCAAAACACATTACAAAGCTACAGAATTAAAACAAATTGGCATGAGTATCAAGGTGAAAAAGTAGACTAATCAAATAGAATGCAGCACATATATAAACGTTCACATATATGGTCATATGAAGGGTCATTTTCATACCCATTATTATTGTAACATTGTTACTAAAGCCCATGGGTTGAACCAATGCAAATTTCTGTCGGCAACTTATTCAGTAGATATAATTTGAAATATAAAAATAATAAAATATCACCCACATTTGAGAAAGCAGGAAATACTCTAACAACCATAAAGATAAAGCTCAATGACATTATGTAAAATGAAATGAGCCAGCCACATGTTTGGAGAACATAAACATTCAAACCATTATTATAGAACAACTAGGCTTAACAGACTTGTACAAAACTTTCCAGCTGAGGCCAGGTGCGGTGGCTCACTCCTTTAATCCCAGCACTTCGGGAGGCCGAGGCGGGCAAATCACGAGGTCAAGAGATCGAGACCATCCTGGCTAACACAGTGAAACCCCGTCTCTACTTAAAAAAAAAACAAACAAAAAAAAAAACAGAATAAATTAGCCACGCATGATGGTGGATGCCTGTAGTCCCAGCTAGTCAGGAGACTGAGACAGGAGAATGGCGTGAACTCAGGAGGCGGACCTTGCAGTGAGCTGAGATTGCACTACTGCACTCCAGCCTGGGTGACAAAGCGAGACTCCATCTCAAAACAAACAAACAAACAAAAAAACTTTCCAGCTGAAAGCAAGAGATTCTCTCCACTCAAAAGCAAAATATCCTTATTTGCACCTGGTGTATTCTGTTAGGACACGAATCAAGTCTTACTAAATTTAGGAATATTGGCTGGGTACGGTGGGTCATGCCTTTAATCCCAACACATTAGAGACCAAGGTGGAAGAATCACTTGGAGCCAGAAGTTTGAGACCAGGCCTGGGCAACATAGTGAAATCCTGTCTCTACAAATAATTAAAAACTGCACGAGCCAGACATGGTAGTGCATGTCTGTAGTCTCAGCTACTCAGGAGGCTGAGATGGAAGGATCACTTGAACCCAGGAGGCTGAGGCTGCATTGAGCCAAAATCATGCCACTGTACTCCAACCTGGGTGACAGAGTAAGCTCCTGTCTCAAAACAACAACAAATAAAGTTTAAAAGACCAAAATTACACACTATGTTTTCTGGCCAAAACTAAATAAAACTAGGAACTAAAAGCAAAAGTAAAACTGGAAAATCCAAAAATATATGAAAATAAAACATGCTCTTCAACATTTTCTTGCTTAGGGGTCAAAAATTTAATTTTTCAAATATGTCAATACAAGATACAGTGATAAACACATTTAATATAATCCCTAAACAATCCCAATAGCACAGTTTTTTACAGAAATATTGTTTCAAATTGTAAAATTTGGTCATAAACTATAGCCAAACACCCATGAAAAAGAACAAAGAGGCATTATACTTTTTGATTTCAAAACATATTAAAAGCTACAATAACAAAAACGATGTGGTACTGACAAGACAGATGAAAGATGAAACAACAGAATACAGCACAGAAATAAACCCTTCTGTATATGATCTTCCACAAAACTGCCATGAGCACATAATAGAGAAAAGAAAATCTCTTTAAAAAATAATATTGGAAACTGGATTATCAATACAGCCTAGCCAACATGGCGAAACCCCATCTCTACTAAAAATACAAAAAAATTAGCCAGGTGTGATGTCACATGCCTGTAGTCCCAGCTACTCCGGAGGTTGAGGCAGGAGAATTGCTTGAACCCGGGAGATGGAGGTTGCAGTGAGCTGAGATTGCACCAGTACACTCCAGCCTGGGCAACAAAGCCAGACTCCGTATCAAAAAAAAACAAAAGAAACACTGGTAAAATAAAGTTGGATCCTTTCCTTGAATCATATACAAAAAACATTTTAAATACTTGGACATTAAAAAAAAACACAACTAACAAATCCCTTAGAAAAAAATATAGAAGAAACACAGGACATTGGACTTGGCCGCTTTTCCTTAGACACATTAAATGCATGAGCAACAAAGAAAATTAAAATTTAACTGCACTAAAAATTTTCTGCACATCAGAGAAAACATTCAATAGAGTGACAATGTCTCTTAGGAAATGGATGAAAATGTATGCAAATCACATGTGATATGATTTAATATTCAGAACATATAAACATCTCTTGAAATTAAACAATAAAGTTAAACAATGTGATTTTAAAATGGGAAAATAATTGAACTAAGTTTTCAGCAAAAAAGATACACAACTGGAAAAAAAGCATTTAAAAAGAACACAAGATCACTAATTTGTAGAGATATGCATGAAAATCACAATGAAAAACAAAATCACCTCATATCCATTAAGAATGGCAACTGTAAACTTTTTTAAAAACACCAAATCTGTTAATGATGCAATGAAAATGAAACCATGTTGACTGCGGGAAACAAGAATGCAGCCATTACTTTAAAATGTTATGTTTCTCAAATACTTAAAAATGAAAAAAAAAAAAAAAAAAAAATCGGACTGCGCAAAGTGGATCATGCCTATAATCCTAGCACTTTGAGATGCCGACACAGGCAGATCACCTGTCAGGAGTTCAAGACCGGCCTGGCCAACATGGTGAAACCCTGTCTCTACTAAAAATACAAAAATTAGCCAGGTGTGGTGGCTTATGCCTGTAGTCCCAGCTACTTGGGAGGCTGAGGGAGGAGAATCTCTTGAACTCGGGAGGCCGAGGTTGCAGTGAACCAAGATTACACCACTGCACTCCAGCCTGGGTGACAAAGTGAGACCCTGTCTCAAAAAAAAAAAAAAAAAAAAAAATTCCTCTCACATAAAGGCATCTTCGCTCTTATGCTTTTAAATTTTTTAAGGATTCTACTTTCCCTTCAGTGATCTTTGTTCAAACTTACAGTGAGAGCCAAAGCCCTCTTAATGGCATATAATATACTGCATAATCTGACCACTTTTTCATTGCTTTGGGGGACACACAAGTATCTGCCTAATTTTGAAAAACTCTTTGTTAAACTACTTTTTAGGTTGTCTTTTCATATTATGTCTAAAATGTTTGAGAGTAGTGGTTTCTGTTCCAGTGGTGTTTTTTTGTTAATTTTTCTGCACAGTCCATTATGTTTGTATTACTATAGTCTTGAAATATAGTTTGACATTATAAAGTATGACATTCTTTTGCTTTGTTCTTTTTCCTCAAGATTGCTTTGGCTATTCAAAGTTTATTGTAGTTTCATGTAAAGTTTAAAATTGCATTTCTGTGGGGAAAAAAAAAAACCACTGAAATTTTCATTGGGAATTCATTGAATCTATAGATCACTTTGAATAATATGGCACTTTAAAAATATTTATTGTTTCAATCCATAGACATAAAATATTTTAAAATTTATGTCTTTTCTAATTTCTTTCATTGATATATCTTTAATCGTAAATACTTTTTGCCTCCTTGGTTAAATTTGTTTTCATAAATTTATTATTCTAATGCTATTGTAAATAAGATTGTTTTCTTCCTCTATCACATAGTTTAAGTGTATGGAACCATAATTTACACTTGTATGTTAATTTTATATGTTGCTAATATACTGACAGCATTTATTAGTTTAGACAGGTTTTAATGTATTGTTTATGGTTTTTTAAATATAAGATTATACAATCTACAAACAGCAACTTTTTACTTGTCTTCAATTTCAACGCTTTTTGTTTGTTTGTTTGTTTTGAGACACAGAGTCTCACTCCATCACCCAGGCTGCAGTGCACTGGCACAAGCTTGGCTCATTGCAACCTCTGCCTCCTGGGTTCAAGCAATTCTCCCTGCCTCAGTCTCCCAAGTAGCTAGGATTACAGGCACCTGCCACCACACTTAGCTAATTTTTATATTTTTTACTAGCAACAGGGTTTTGCCAAGTTGGCCAGGCTGGTCTGGAACTCCTGACCTCAGGTGATCCAGCTGCCTTGGCCTCCCAAACTGCTGGGATTATAGGTGTGAGCCACCATGCCCAGGCTATTTTCTGTTTTTCTGACTAATATTTATGGCACATACTTCCAGTGCTATTATTAAAATAGAGGCATTAACAATGGGTACAATACAGTTTTGCATTGGTGTCTGTGAATTTGAAGAAGCAAACACCTCTTCAATTTTTATAAACTGGCCTCACGAGGTAAGCCTCTTTCGTTGGGTCCCCAGGGTGCTGGGATGCCCTATGGGTTTGTAGTAGACAGAGGGTGTAGCCTGGTCACAAGGCTGCGGGGTCTGCACTAGGGTCCACCTTTAGTTGGCTTGTTACAAGGGGCTTTGGTAGACGCTAATTCCCATTTTATTTTTTGACAAAGTAAATATTCTTCAGGACTTTGCGCTGTAGGGCAGTCACTAAGACAGGTGTTTTTTGTTGTTGTTGTTGTTTTTGAGATGGAGTTTCGCTCTTGTTGCCCAGGCTGGAGTGCAATGATGCCATCTCAGCTCACTTCAAACTCCGCCTCCCAGGTTCGAGTGATTCTCCTGCCTCAACCTCCTGAGAAGCTTGGGATTGCAGGCATGTGACAGCACGCTAACATTTTTTTTTTTTTTTTTGAGACGGAGTCTCGCTCTGTCGCCCAGGCTGGAGTGCAGTGGTGCGATCTCGGCTCACTGCAAGCTCCACCTCCCGGGTTCACGCCATTCTCCTGCCTCAGCCTCCCGAGTAGCTGGGACTACAGGTGCCTGCCACCTCGCCCAGCTAATCTTTTTGTATTTTTAGTAGAGACGGGATTTCACTGTGTTAGCCAGGATGGTCTCGATCTTCTGACCTCGTGATCCGCCCGCCTCGGCCTCCCAAAGTGCTGGGATTACAGGTGTGAGCCACTGTGCCAGGCTGAAAGCTTTTTAGAACACAGTTTTTCAGAAAATATTTTCTTTGAAACATAGCTTCCCAAATCACATTGTAAGGACTAGCTTTCTTTTTGGCCTTGGGACCTCTCATCTGTGTTGTCTGTTGTATTCACTCTCACCTACCTGGGGGTTCATCCACCATTTCATGTCGCTTCATATTCCAGGGTTCTTTTTCTTTCTCTAGACAGGTGATTAGGTCTGGCTTAGAGACAGTAATACCTGTTTTATTAAAAATAAAGAAGATGAATCTTGCTTATATTCTGTAATTACCAATTTAGTAATGTGCTCAGTAAAGAGGATGTAGTACAATATTCTAGTAAATTAATTCTCAAATACCAATTTATAAGAGAAATTTCTAAATCTTTAGAAAATATTTATTTATTTATTTATTTATTTATTTTTTGAGGCAGAGTCTCACTCTGTCACCCAGGCTGGAGTGCAGTGGCCGGATCTCAGCTCACTGCAAGCTCCACCTCCCGGGTTTACGCCATTCTCCTGCCTCAGCCTCCCGAGTAGCTGGGACTACAGGCGCCTGCCACCTCGCCCAGCTAGTTTTTTGTATTTTTTTTAGTAGAGACGGGGTTTCACCGGGTTAGCCAGGATGGTCTCGATCTCCTGACCTCGTGATCCGCCCATCTCGGCCTCCCAAAGTGCTGGGATTACAGGCTTGAGCCACCGCGCCCGGCCTAGAAAATATTTTAAATTTGTAGGTTCTTAATTTCATTGACCAGTACTACTTAATAAAAAATCGACTGTGACAATTAGATTTTAAGGTGTAGGCAACGATATTTTAGGCCACTAAATTCCTGAAATTATCACTAATCAAGAGTACATAATACAAATCAGCTCAGGAATACGGAAAGTTCAGGTGAAGATAAAACATCTTGAAGAAATTCTTTTCTACAAAAACAAATCCCCAAACTTTTCTTAAAAACAGGAATCTGAAACTCATTTATGCAAAGCATAAATTACCAAAAAACACTCTACAAAGAGGAGAAATGAAACATTAAGGGTATATTAGGAATGGTGTATTGAAGTTATTCTCACCCAGGAAGACCAGGTTTCTGTAGTTCTCTAACATCACATTTCTATATAAGTTCTGTTGTGCTGTGTCCAGGCACTGCCACTCCTCTAGAGAGAATTCTATGGCCACATCTGTAAATGTCAATGGTCCCTGAAACACACACACACACACACAGGGAGAGAGAAAGAGAGAGAGAGAAACATATTTACCAAGTGCCCATGGGTAGACTTTTTTATTTAATTCAAGGTGAAATGAGAGAGAAAAGAGAGCTGCTTCTCACTTACACGACTGACTGAAATTATTCAATAAATTAATTTACAAACAGAAATATTCTCTCATATATTCTCTAACTTTGAGAAAATAGTGTCATAAGATCCACAACATCAGTGTACACATGACATTTTTCTAAATGATAGAGTATAAAAATTAAGGGCATGAACACAAACATATACATTTTTGAGTGCTATGTTTACATCTTACAGAATGAGTTGTGTATATTTTTCAGATCAAAAAGACATGTTGAGTTAGAATTTATCTCTCACATTTTAATGTATTCAATGAACTGAAGATTTTGTTAATACAGATTATTGTTTCAGAAAATCTGGAATAAAGTCTGAGTTGCTGAATTTCTAACAAGCTCACCAGTAATGCCAATGTTTTTGGTCCAAAAAGAATATTTTGTCAAACATCCAGTAAATGAAGGAAGCTGTTTTTCCCAGTTTTTTTGCATTGTAAACAAAGATGAGAGCTTTCATTTTCCAAAGACAGATATATGCAAAGAAAACCTAAGGAAGAAGGGCAGCTGCCAAATTAAATGTGATGGCATCCGCTGCATAAAGACAGTTAATAATAAAGAAAAAATAATCAACTCCATAGTAAAACAGTCTGTCAGAGAGTTCTTTAACCAAGTGAATCATTAACATCAACTGCACTGGGACAAATTTTTATGATGCACTGGTACACACAGAAAGACACAGCCTCACTGATGTGATATTGCTACCTAAAAACAAATTATAGTCTGAATTTAACCATAAAGAAACATCCATTTTATTCAAAGTTTAAGATACTGATAACTCATGGGTTCTGTAATTTCTTTTCTCCTTTGATACGGAGTCTCGCTCTGTTCCTCAGGCTGGAGTGTAATGGCACGATCTTGGCTCACTGCAACCTCCACCTCCTGGGTTCAAGTGATTCTCCTGCCTCAGCCTCCAAAGTAGCTAGGATTACAGGCGCCTGCCACCACGCCTGGCTAATTTTTGTATTTTTAGTAGAGATGGGGTTTCACCATGTTGGTCAGACTGGTTTCGAACTCCTGATCTCAAGTTATCCAACCACCTCGGCCTCCCAAAGTGTTAAGATTACAGGTGTGAGCCACCATGCCCAGCCAAGTGTTCTGTAATTTTAATAGTGATTTAAAGTTGTCTTTGTTTAGCACTCTAGAGAACAAGTACCTCCTAATATATATATGTCTATATATATTTGGAATTTTCTGGGTAATAAATGCCATCCTGTTTAAATAAGCATTTTCAAAATCCTGTTCTGCGTAAAGCCAATGGAGAACACAGATGGAACCTCAACATTACATGTTCTCCATCTCTGCTGAGGAACCCACCTTTCCCCAATTGAAACCTTGAGTATCCACACCTCATGTTTCACAGGCACAAGGGAACATTTTTAATATTGCAGATTAATTTATAATCTTGGTGAGAACTCTGCATGGCATATAAAAAGCTATGATATAGAGAATGTACAGAAAGATCTGGTACGTAGGAAGGAAATATTTTTCAGAGACCCTTGACTACCATAAAAATTTTTTAAAGTAAACTCATTAGGGAGGAAAAATACAAGTAGAGAAGTAAAGGCTTGCAAGTACTAAACGCATGACAGTCCAGGAGGCAGAGTGGACACAACTCTTGATCTGGGACATCATTAGCTGAAAAATCGCCATTTATTCTTCTTTCCCCAATTTCTCTGAAATTCCCACTCAGATGAGATTCTCCAAATAAATTACACCTACATCTTGAGAATATGCCTTTTAAAATGTCAGCAGCACCTGTTTACCTGGCTACCACCACACCCACAGGCAGAAGAACCAAGACTTGCAAAAAAAAGTCCACTCATTTCTGTTCTTTATAACAGAGGAGATTTAGAAACAATGTACAGCTCCATGGAGATACATTTCTTCTTTCCGTCCTCAGGTGCCCTCCCCTGCCACAGACAACAGTAGTTTCTGCTGCAATATTGGTAATATGGACTGCACTGCCCTGCCCCTACCAAACCCAAACAGAATAGGCCCTGTAACCACCCTTTAGTGCAAAGGTGAAACTTAACTCTCATGGATGTGTTTTGAAGCTTTCACACTTGATTCTGGCCTCATCTTAGAATCACATGAGGCGCTAAATGAAAACAACATGGATGCTTCTACTTGAAAGTAATAGTAGTAGACAGGGTTTCACTGTGTTAACTACTGCTTGAAAGGGCACAAGTAAACAGATCTTTGCAAATTGGCCATGGAGTCCTAATTAGAAACCTCAGTTGATAACCACTTGGCAAAGCATGGATGTTGGCCGGGCGCAGTGGCTCACTCCTGTAATCCTAGCACTTTGGGAGGCTGAGGCAGTGGATTTGTCTGAGCTCAGGAGTTTGAGACCAGCCTGGCCAAGATGGTGAAACTCCATTTCTACTAAAATATAAACAAAAACCAGCCAAGCACGGTGGCAGATGCCTGTAATCCCAGTTACTCAGGAGGCTGAGGCATGAGATTTGCTTGAACCCAGGAGGTTGCAGTGAGCCAAGACCATGCCACTGCACTCCAGCCTGGGCAACAAAATGAAACTGTCTTAAAAAAAAAAAAAAAATTCATGGGTGCACATGAATACAGCAAGTTCTTAGAAGACCTATAAAGAGATGTCGATTCTGACACAATGGTAGGAGACTACAACACTCCGCAGACACTTAGATCATTGTGTTGCGTGAATTAGGAGACTGGAGAGACTGATAGGTGGAAAAGGAGGATTTTATTGAGTGCACTCAGACCCAGTGGATTAACATCCAGAGACTAGGCCTAGGACAAAGACAAATTTAACTTTTATATGCACTTCTGAAGGGGGTGGGCTAACATGAAACAAGCCTACAGTGGCACAAAGCATAGTGGTGTGAAAGCAAGGATACGAAACAGAAAAAAAGCAGTTAATCATACTATGACAGGTTCACAACTCAGGCTTATATATGACTCTTGCTGTGCGGCCCAGATGGCTGTTATCTAGGCTTGCTCCAGTGTCTTGCAAGGGATTATCTCATAACCTTCACCATGGCGCCTAGGTGGCTGCAATACAGGCCTGCTCAGGCATCTCATGACCTTCACTGTGCTGCTTAAATGAAAAACAGAACCATAAGAGAAAGGAAAATTTGTTTCTCTTCTCCCTATGTTGAGGGAATGCTGGGAGAATCTCCAGAGCACATTCTTTTGAGTCCTGGCTTCTTAGATAGTGTTACCAAGACTTTTCCTGGGTGTGAGCTGTGCCTGTTACTGCCTCTGGGATAAGTCAGCCTAATACAGGAAAGTTTGTTTTTCTTTTTAATTTAATTTCATTTAATTTCCCACCTCAATTGAGGCAGAAAATTAACAAAGATATCTGAACCTAAACTCAGCACTTGACCAAATCATTCTAATAAACATATATGAAACTCCCCATCTGAAACCAACATAGTATATATATCTTTCTCATCACCATGTGTCACATACTCTAAAATTCACCACACAATCAGAAACACAATAATCCTCAGCAAGTTCAATAATCCCAAAATCACACCAAATGCTCACTTAGGCCACAATTTGATAAAGATATAATTCAGGGCTGGGCATGATGGCTCATGCCTGTAATCCCAGCACTCTGGGAGGCTGAGGTGGGCAGATCATGATATCAGGAGATCAAGACCATCCTGGTTAACACAGTGAAACTCTGTCTCTACTAAAAATACACACACACACACATAAAATTAGCCAAGCACGGTGGCACGTGCCTGTAGTCCCAGCTACTCAGGAGGCTGAGGCAGGAGAATCGCTTGAACCCAGGAGGTGGAAGTTGCCGTGAGCTGAGATGGTGCCATGCACTCCAGCCTGGGTGACAGAGTAAGACTCCATTTCAAAAAAAGAAAAAACAAAAAAGATATAATTTAATACAAAGAAAAACATTTGAAAACATGCAATTACATGAAAATTAAACAACCTTCATCTGAATGACTTTTGGTAAATACTGAAATTAAGGCACAAATCAAGAAGTTCTTTAAAACAAATGAGAACAGTGATAAACACACCAGAATCTCTCCAACACAGCTGAGGTTAAAAAGGGAATTCATAGGACTAAATGCTCACAACAAAAGTTAGAAAGATCTCAATTTAACAACCTAACATCATAAATAAAAGTATAAGAGAAGCAAGAGCAAACAAGCCCCTAAGCTAGCAGGAGACAAGAAATAACCAAAATCAGATCAGAACTGAAGGAGATTTAGACATAAAAAGTCATACAAAAGACCAAGAAATCCAGGAGTTAAATATTTTAAATAAATCAATAAGATAAACCACTAGGCAAGATTAGTGAATTAAGAAGAGAAGATTCAAATAAACACAATAATAAATGACAACGCCTGTAATCCCAGCACTTTGGGAGGCTGAGGTGGGCGGATCACAAGGTCAGGAGATAGAGACCATCCTGGCTAACACGGTGAAACCCCTTCTCTACTAAAAATATTTTTTAAAAATTTGCTGGGCATGGTAGTGGGCACCTGTAGTCCCAGCTACTCGGGAGGCTGAGGCAGGAGAATGGTGTGAACCCAGGAGGCGGAGCTTGCAGTGAGCCGAGATCGAGCCACTGCACTCCAGCCTGAGCGACAGAGCAAGACTTTGTCTCAAAAAAAAAAAAAGAAATGACAAAAGGGTCATTACTACTGACTCCACAAAAAATACAAATAACTACTGAAGTCTACTATGAACATCTCTATGCACACAAACTAAAAAAATCTAAAAGAAATGGATAAATTTCTGGGCAAATACATTCTCCCAATACTAAACAAGAAGAAATTGGAGCCCAGAACAGAAAAATAACAAGCCCCAAAATTGAATTAGTAAATAGCCTACCACTCAAAAAAAA